AAGAAGTGTTATGCAGTTATTTGAAAAAGTTTTTTTTTTCCGAAAAAAAATGTATCCAGACTACTTTCACGTTCAAAAAAGCAATCGGAAGAAGATATGCAAATTAGCGCTAAATTTGCATATCTCCTTTTGCAAAAAAACCCCGTAGTTTAGACGTACCCTTAGTGGCAATTCCAGACATAAGGAGGGGGAACAGGGCCGGCTTTAGGAAGTGCGGGTCCCGATTCGGTGGGGTGGGGCCACACATGCACCGCGTGCCCAGGAACGGGGCCCTCTTAGGCACGGGGCCCCACTCTTAGTTGCGGGGTCCGATTCGGGGGAATCAGAGGAATCGGCCTAAAGCTGGCCCTGAGGGGGAATGACAGTGGTAAGGCAGGGGTAGGCAATAATTTTTGATGGGATCACTCCAAGATTTTGGTAAGAAGTCAAGGGCCACACTTTTCTATGGAGGGCGTGATTGGACTGGGTGGGGCAGCGCGTGAAGTCTCTCCCTGCCCCCTACCAGGGGTGCACAGCACCAAGAGGGAACCGCCAGCTGTTTTGAGCAGCCTCGGGTTGCAGCAGGCAGAGAGCCTGCCTCTCCCAGGTCTTGGCAGGGTGGGCCATGGGCCAGATCAAAAGGCTTGGAGGACCACATCCAACCCATGGGCCTTATCTTGCCCACCCCTGTGGTAGGAGCTGCTGTGTGGATGGGAGGGTTATACACTGGAGGAATTGAATTCTCTGGGGGCATTGTATTTATTTCCATTCCTCCTCTCGTGCACTAAGGGTATGTCTACACTACCCCTCTAGTTCGAACTAGCGGGGTAATGTAGGCATACCGCACTTGCAAATGAAGCCCGGGATTTGAATTTCCCGGGCTTTATTTGCATAAGCCGGGCGCCGCCATTTTTAAATCCCGGCTAGTTCGAACCCCGTGCCGCGCGGCTACACGCGGCACAATTTTTAAAGCCCGGCTAGTTCGACCCCCGTGCCGCGCGGCTACACGCGGCACAGAGTAGCTAGTTCAGATTAGGCTTCCTGATCCGAACTAGCTGTACTCCTCATTCCACGAGGAGTACAGCTAGTTCGGATTAGAAGCCTAATCCGAACTAGCTACTTCGTGCCGCGTGTAGCCGCGCTGCACGGGGTTTGAACTAGCCGGGATTTAAAAATGGCGGCGCCCGGCTTATGCAAATGAAGCCCGGGAAATTCAAATCCCGGGCTTCATTTGCAAGTGCGGTATGCCTACATTACCCTCCTAGTTTGAATTAGGAGGGTAGTGTAGACATACCCTAAGAGATTAAAGGAAGCCAAATGCTTTTATAAACACTGTATAACCGTCTTGTGCTGATTTTGTTTTTATTTGTGGTAGGCTTTCTGTGATGATGCCTCTGGACTGAAGTTTAACCCCGTCTTGTATCCCAAGGTGAGGAGAAAGAACATCTAATACTCTAGCTCGGGGTTGCTGTATCTGAAGGTTTTCAAAACAGCTTGCCTAATTTGTGCACTCATGTACATATGCAAAGTAGGAATGTTCTCATGTCACACTGACAGACCTCCGTCATCTGCTGGCAGAATCAAATCTGGGATCTCTAGAGCTTAGTGCATGAGCTTCTACTCCATGAGCCAGAAGTCAGCTGTCTATTAGCTAGGGCTGTAGAGCAGACTCATTATTCTCTCTGGGTATGTCTACACAGCAGGGCTAACGTCTAATTGAGATTGCAACTTCAGTCAATTGCAGAGCTGAAGTTGAAATGTCTTAATTTGGCTTTTGGCTCTGTCTACATAGCAGGATGTCCAAGAAAGAACACTCTTCCTCTGACTTCCCTTACTCCTCGTGAAATGACGGTTACAGAATTGGAGTAAGAAGTCCTCCATCTTGACATTATTTTGAAATAATGGCTTACAATGTAGATGCATTTTATTACAGGCAGTCCCCGGGGTACGTACAAGATAGGGACTGTAGGTTTGTTCTTAAGTTGAATCTGTATGTAAGTCGGAACGGGCGTCCAGATTCAGCTGCTGCTGAAACTGATCAGCGGCTGATTCCAGGAAGCCCGGGGCAGGGGCTTCCTGTAGTCAGCCACTGGTAAGTTTCAGCAGCGGCTGAATCAGGACGCCTGGGGCAGAGCAGCTGGGGTGCTGCTGGGTTGGTCCAGTAGCACCGAGGAGCGGCGGGGCTACTGGACCAACCCAGCAGCACCCCAGCTGCTCTGCCCCAGGCATCCCCAAGTCAGCCGCTGCTGAAACTTACCAGTGGCTGACTACAGGAAGCCCCTGCCCCGGGCTTCCTGGAATCAGCCGCTGATCAGTTTCAGCAGCAGCTGAATCTGGACGCCCGTTCCGACTTACATACAGATTCAACTTAAGAACAAACCTACAGTCCCTATCTTGTACGTACCCCGGGGACTGCCTGTATTCCGAAATAACACTGCTATGTAGACGTACCCTCTGCAAGTGGATTCCGTGTCACTAGATGGGACAGTGCGTCACACGCAGAAGGAGTGTGGGTTACACTCATACGATTGGCTAGTTAGCTGCATAGCTAATAGCAGTAAAGCGAGGAAGTAACCCACTCTTGAGACGCATAGGCAAGTATATTTTTCTTTACTGCCGATGGAGTAAGGGGAGAGTATAATTAGTGTGGGACTCAGGAATTCGAGTAAGTCATGGAACTTTGTTTCCTTGACTCAGTCATCAGACCTGGGGTAAGATCACAAAATTTGAATATCCCAGTCACATGATTGTGTGGGGGGGACGGGAGGGGTGTATTTACTAACACCAATGAGTACTTTTTTAGAGGGCACAGTAATGAATGCTCTCTTTATTTTTGGTTACTCTATTAGGTTCTACAGGACCATTGTTTTTTTTTTATTTTTTTAGTAGCTGTGTCTCTTTAAGGAAGTTTCTTCCTGAGCCATGTGTAGATGCAATTCCGAATATACTATTTTTTAAATTAGATGAGTCAGGGTCTGAATTTGGACATTCTCAAAATAGGTGGAGTGCAGTAGCAGGTCAATCCCAGGCACCACATGGCAATTGAATACAATAATGTTGTTGATGAAGGGAGGTCGGCCTCTTCAGGGTTACATTCCTGCCCCTGTGCTGCAGCTAAACCAGGGAGGAGGCTGTTAGCTACTTGCATGCAAATCAAAAAGATACTTAATGGCAAACAGCTGCTACAATCTGGGGGAAAAACTCACTTTCTGATTCCAATGTTACTCCAGCATCTTCACTGCATTATAAGAACCTGAGTCCAACCACACATATACCAGACTTACTAGCACCTTCCTAAAATGGGGCAATTCCAGCCCTTTGTTTGTGGTGAAGTATAGGAAAACTTGACTGTCTAGAAGAAAAAGAAGGTCAGCCTGTGGAATATTTCTGAAAGATTTACAGAGCATGATCCCAGAGGGTCTGTGTCCATATTGCAAGCCTATAGGACTAGAACCCTTGTTCCCAGCCTCAAACCCTCCACTCCCATAAGACCACGCCCTGGGATAATGTGATTTGTGTAGACAGAAGAGGGGCTAAGCTTGAGGCTGAGTTCCAAATCTGGGCTTACACTGTAATGTAGACATACCCTAAAGAGTTTACAAAACCTTTGTGCAAACCTGGGGCCAGTTCATAGAACTGTATCCAAATTGTATGGCACTAATGGGTGTCACGTGGTATTAATGGGAAACTCGATGGGTCTCATTTTGAAATTTTGGAGTCTGTTTGAAACCAAGATTTAAAGGTAAACTCTGGGTTAAAACTACAGAAAATGTTCCCTTACACTGCTTTGAGGCAAAACTCCCTGGAGAATTGCACCTTATTAATTATGATGTTGCAGCCCTATAGATTCACACTTCTCTTATAATCACATTGATTTAGGGTCAAATTCTGGCATTGAATTTGAGGTTGCCCCCCCCCCCAAATTTGCAGTGACAATATACACTTAAGGAGTTGCCAAATACTTGTCATAAACTTCAAGTCAGATTTATGCCTGTGCACGAATGGAGGTGTGACCCCTAAAACTACTTAACTGCTATAAAATGCAAAGGCAGATAGTTTATTCCATTTTGGAGTGGAATAAATTATTGGAGAGGTGAGGGGTCACAGGGGGCACTCAGCATAACGTGAGCCAGGAGGTAGTTCTGAGTTCACACCCCTTTTACCCAAAAGAATTCTCTGTGCTGGTGAGAGCTCTCACAACACTATATCGTTCTTCAACTAATAATTTGGCCCATTGAGGATCAGTGACAGAGTCATGATCGCGGGACATTTGAAGAAGCATGGCCATTATATTTAAATGACATGGTTTATTTTTAATCTCATCTCTCTCTATATATAAAAAGTTTTTCCTGCTGGACGACAGCATGTTCCTACCGGGCGATAGAATTACGTCATCCCATCAACAGCCTCTCTCAGTGAAGTGAAAGTGGCCTGAGAGAGGGAGATAGGCGAGCATAGTGATCAGAGGGTGTGACCCGACCCCCTAGTTTTTTTTTTTAAAGAGAATAAAACAAGACAAAACCAAACAAACCATGGTTGCTTGGAACTCTGCCTCCTGTAACGATGAATCTCCTCTCGGCAGGGGACAGAAATGAAGGAGTAAGGTACTTGCAAGCCCCATGCAAGGGAGAAAAAAAGAGGCTGCTCCTTTTACAGCCACTGTGAGAACGTTCATGAAACAAACCTATGTGGCTCAACGTGTGATTCTCTAGTGATCATGCAATGACCCTGCTTCCCCCTGAAAAAGGACAGTAGCAATCAGTCAACAAGGCTGAGCTTTCCAAATGAGTCAAAGGGAGTTAGGTACTAAACTCCTATCTGATCTGGACACTTAACTCTCTGGAGTGTTTGGAAAATCGCAGCTTATATGTAGGAGTTCCATATTAATGTCCTTTTTAAAAGTGACCATCAAGTTCAATGAAGAGTTCATGAGAAGATAAGTATATAGCCTTCCTTAGGTCATTGACCAAATATGAAGTGGAGACCATTAATGCTGAAAATGATGAGTCTCCGCTGATTAAACAAAAGGAGTAATTTTATTAGTAGACAGCTGAAGTAGGCTTTTATCTTCTTTTGTGGACCAACCATTAGTGGGAGACAAAGACACATATTGAACTGCTAGGGGGTACATGTATGAAGCTAGCAGGCATATATATGAAGCTGCTCGATATATTTTTGAGTAGTTGGTATAAAATACGAATAAATGGGCCGTACCATCCAGGTTTGGGCTAGCCATGCTCTGTGGACAGGTAACAATTCATAGCTGCTGAGGGCCTGCACCAGGATGTGGGGTGGATGTGGATTGGAACAAAATGTGCACTTCAAAAGAGATCGAGTACCTGGACTCCAGTTGTTTGTTTCTCTGTCATTGCTCATGAATTTATGCAATTGTGCTCACCTAGAAATCTCTTACTGGGTAGTTAAAGCATATTCATAATTTTTGTAGTACCTTGTAGGCTGGAGACGGCACATTAGGAGGTGCTTTGAAAATCTTTTGGTGTAAACCAAGGTCAATGTTATTTTATTCTTGCTTTCAGGGCCGGTCCTAACCAATAGACTCTCCACAGTACAGAGCCAGGAATGAGTGTGGCATTCGGTAAATGACAAATAAAAATGTAGAGCTGTGAGGACATGGAAGACTTATTTACCTTGTCCATAGAACCTTACCATTCCCCTCTAAATTGTGCTTCTCCTAGATGCTGTTTTTATCTAGGTAACATTTTAGATGCTAGTCCTACAAATTACTGAATTAAATCATTCACATTTTGTTTTATTCCAGGCATCCCAGATGATAGTGTCTTATGATGAGCACGAAGTTAATAACACATTTAAATTTGGTGTGATTTATCAGAAATTTAAACAGGTAAGTAGCCCCATTGTGTTGTCAGTAAGCATATTCTAGAAAGTAGCTCGGGTGTGTGATTTTTGGAGCTCTGTGTGGATGCCAGCATCCACATCTGTATCCACAAAAATGCAGATACCCACAGATATAAAGCAGATATCTGTGGATTTGCAGGGCTCTAGTGATCTTTAAATGTTGTGCACTCAAAACTCCAGCTGAAGTTGATGAGAATGGCAGGTGTTTGACACTGCTAAATGTTTGTAATTATATTGTAGTGTTTTCAATCCAATTATATATTTCTTATTACCTGCACATTTTTTTTGCTCAATAATAAACGATATGCTTGTAAAATAAATGATTATATAAATCAACCCCCAAGCTAACTTAATTTGAAAATCCATTTTAGTGACCATGTTTTTTTTAATCAGACATATGTTTAGACAGCCAAACAGTTATATTGTTATTAGAAGGCTGTAGATTATGGAGGTACGTGTTCCCTGAAAATGCTTCCATTAACCTGGGAGTTTAGCAAGTGCAATACAGACAGAGATGAATCTTATAATTTAGCAGATATTATTCTGTCAGGCTTTTTAACTATATTTCCATTTCCTTCTATTGTGTGTTGAACAACTAACGCAAAAACCATAATTAAGGAGCCTTTGTTATGAAATATACCGAAGTGGGGATGAAGTATTAATTTGGATTTAATATTAACTGTGCTTTCTTTTCCTTCCATTTGATTTAAAGATTCTTGCAGGGACTTTTAATAAGAATGTCTTGGTTTTCAGGCATATTGTGAACCTATTTGTTGTCAATATGATTTTTTATTTGGATTTTGGTAAGTAGCACCTATGAAACCAAATTACTCTTCAGACAAGTAACAAAGAAATTAGACTCAGATCCTCCAGTGTACGTAGACATCTAACTCTCATTGATTTCAGTGGGAGCTAAGACCTAAACCTCGGAGGATCTGGCCTTAGTTTCTGCATCAGGGAGCACATGCCTGAGAGGTCAGAGAAGCTGTGAATAATGGACAAACAATCAAATGGGAAAGAGGGAGCATGAGTAGGGTTGCCAAGTGTCTGGTTTTTACCTGGACAGTCTGTTATTTCTGAGTGTCTGGTTTTTACCTGGACAGTCCGTTATTTCTGACTCCTGTCCGGTAAAAAAAAACAGAAAATACCTGACATGAGGGAGTGAGGCTTATTTCTGACTCCTGTCCAGTAAAAAAACCCAGAAAATACCTGACATGGGGGAGTGAGGAGTGTGGGGAGTGAGGAGCACAGGGATATTTAAAGGTGCAGAAACTTTTTTTTTTTTGGCTCCCTGTTTTTTGTGGGGGGTTTTTTGCTCAACCAATTGTTTTTTTTCCTGCCATGTTCGGGATTTTTGTGAAAGTATCTGGCAGCCCTAAGCATGAGGTAACAAAATGAAGGGGTTAGCAGAAAAAGAAAAGGTGCTGCTTGCCTAACTAATCCCAGTAAGGAATGATTTGAAGGCATCACAGCAGAGGTGGGTTTTGAGGAAGGTGATCAGGTAGCTTTTTGAATTCTGCTTTCCCCAAATCCCATGGCAGTTTTCACTGAGCAGGGTGTACTTTTCATGTCCTGGCCTGTGCACTGCAGTGTGGTAATAAACAGCTGTCATGGCACCCTGTAAAGCCGATTGCAGTGTTGGGAAAAGATCCTCCAGGATGAAGAACGATATACATGTTCAATTGTCAATTAGAACCTTCAGCCAGACTTCAGCAAACACAACGCCCATGGCAGATGGTTCTAATCACACCATGTGTTCTTTGGCCCAGTGCTTCCTCAGGTACAAGCGGCTTTCAGCATGCTGTGGAAGTAGAACCCACATGGACAGCCCCAGCTAGTTAATTCAGCTGATTGCTGAAGACAGGCAAGCCTGTTTTTTTGGATTCTTTTGGAATGAGTCAGTGTCCATCAGCTTCCACCAGCATGGACTGCTTGAGTCAGCATGATGTGCAGGCAAATTCATTTTTCTGACTCTGCCACAAATAGAAGGAGAAAACACAGTCAAAGAAAAGTGACTTTCCTCATTGGTTCCTGACTTGTGCATTTGCTAATCTGTCAGTTATTGCTAAGTAGCTAGCTCTTATTTAAGAGGGTTTTTTTGAGAGCAGCAACTAAAAATGCTTTTTCCATTGCTCTTTGGTTTGATCAAAGGTTGCTGCAAAATGTGGTTGGTGGGTCTCTCATGCCCAAGGGGTTTCAGGTGTAGCAATGTTAAGAGCTAAAGTTAATGTGTCAATGTATTTTAATGTGTCATGTGGATATGATTGTACCCTCCAGGCAGAGCTGCTATACTGCTCCTCTCCCAACCTCAAGCAACTTGTTGGGAGAAAGTTTTCTGAGTTAAATAAACCAGAGCATTTTTTAAATCTCTAGGATGTTGTAAAAATGGTGCCTTTAAAATGGTTCAGATAAAATACCCTTTCTATTGTAAACGTCAGAATGCTTTGGTGGGGCATATAAGAAGTATAAACCCCATTGTACAGATTGGGAAACTGAAGCACCAGGAAGTCAAGTAATGGGCCTAACCACACAGAAGTGATGGAGCAGGGATTAAAAATTAGGGCGGTCCTATGCTTAGTGTATGGTGCTGCACTGTGGCTTGGAGTGGACATGGGTAGGAAATGGCTATCTTTTCACAGGAGAGTTTTCAAGCTTTAGAATTTTTTCCCTAACCTGAAATGGAATGAAAAGTTGAAATCTTAATTTTTTATTTTTTGCAAACCAATAATGTTCCAATGTTTCATTTTGATTTGTACTTTAAAACCCCCCTAAACTTTATAGTAAAAATGAAAACTCCAAAATGAAAAGTCATTTTGAATCTGAAAAACAAAACTTCATTGAGATGTCAAAATGGCATGTTTCAACAATTCAGAAACTTTTTCAAAACCCATTTGGAATGGGAGATTTGTCAGAGCCAATCCTTTCATGCAAACAGGTTTAGTTTTGATGAATTGAGTTTTGCGGATGAAAAAAAATGTTGGGTTAGAAATTTCTCAACCAGCTCTAGTTCTGAGGAAAAACACCCAAAGAAATAAAGGCAAAATACTGCATTATCATAAGCAGTATAGCTATCCCATTATTACATCTACTGCCAACATACCCTGTTCTCAGACTCCCGTGTCTTCATTTCTTTCATTGTTCCTCTTAGAGTAATTCATTCCAGCTGAAACTAGCTCCCTGCAGCGAAGGATAATACTCATGGAAGGCTGATATTTATGGTAGCTTCTCCACTCAGATGGAGTATTAAGTCTCTCCACACTGGCTGTGTCTAGACTGGCCAGTTTTTCTGCAAAATCATCTGCTTTTGCAGAAAAACTTGCCAGCTGTCTAAACTGGCCGCTTGAATTTCCACAAAAGCACTGACGATATCATGTAAGATTGTCAGTGTTCTTGCGGAAATACTATGCTGCTCCCATTCGGGCAAAAGTCCTTTTGTGCAAAACTTCTGCGCAAAAGGGCCAGTGTAGACAGCCCAGATTTGTTTTCCGCAAAAAAGCCCCGATCATGAAAATGGCAATCGGGGCTTTTCTGCGGAAAAGCGTGTCTAGATTGGCACTGACGCTTTTCCGAAAAAAGTGCTTTTCCGCTAAAAGCATTTCCAGAAAATCATGCCAGTCTAGACGTAGCCACTGTGACTAGTACGGGCATGGCCTATATACCAATGTTCTCACTAATCTTTTTCATCCATGTGTGGATTTTTTCTATCCATGTGCAGAATACATTTTATGTGCACCAGGGCGAGTGTGAATGTGCACCATAAGTATAAACAAAAAACCTAGATGTGTGCACTTTGCTTATCAGCTGGGCAGTATTTGAATCTTTCCTGAGAGGTTGCATAAGTGCCCAACTTGCAGGGAACACTGCTATGTACCCCACCATTGTATACTAATTTAAGTTGCCTTGCTAGGTGGTGCTACCTGAGCCTGATTCTGGTCTGGATTTACACCAGAGTTACTCCATTGACTTCAGTGAAGTTACCCTTAATTTATGTTAATATCACTAATATCAGAATCAGGACTACAGTGAGTAACAAAAGCCTGACATCCAGGAGTGCTAGTATACGAGTCCCTTATTACACCACCCATCTCTGGTTTTAATGTGCCTTTCAACTTTCAGTCTGGCCCCTGTGTCCTCAGAATGAAAACTAGCCTGGTTTTTCACTTGACTTCTTAATGTATTTTGCAGACTTTAGAGGAAGAGTTGTTTGGGAATAATGAAGAGAGCCCTGCTTTCAAGAACTTCTTGAGTTTGCTAGGGGAAACCATAACACTCCAGGATTTTAAAGGGTGAGGAAAATACAGGAAACGCTTTTCTAATTATTTGTAACAACACACCACTTAAGGTGTAAAAGCATCCAACAGCTCAGAAATAGAAATCACTTCATTACTGGACTGCACGGTACAAACTGGAAACAAATGTAACTTTGACTATTCTTTCAAACCATGGGGAGCTACTCCAGGGGTTAAAATGGCAAAGAAAAAAGAGTGGCAGATTTGCTTTTCTTTGTTTTAAAACACCCAGTTTCATTTCAGTCATAAATGAAACTAACTCATATGGAAAAAAACACCCAGCATGTTCTCATGCATTTTTCTAAGTATGTTGAAAACCTATATTGGATTCACAGAACTTGTACAAAATGAATCTGATCATGGTATCAAATAGTCGACCCTGTCCTTTTGTGCTGTTCTATCATTGCAAAAGGGGTGTGAAGCTAGCTTCAGTAGTGTGGAAGAATCCCCTGAGAGTGTTAATCTGAAATAACCAGTTGCATTCAACTTGTCCCATAGCATCAGTCATAGAAAGCGTGTCAGGGGGAAAATGGCATGGTTGGAACACCTGCTATCGAAAGGGTCCTTTGTGTCTATTGGTAGCCAGGTGCAAATTAGAGCAGTGCCAAGGCTACTCAACAGCTTGAAACTTCTCCAGTGGATGCAGGTTTGGAGAACAATTGACCTTGCAAACCCTCTTGTTTCCTGCAGCAAGAGTTATGCATGCACAAGGATTGCCAGATCAGGCCTCAATGGCTGTTGCCTAGTGGGCAGAGGTCCACGTCATACTACTAGCAATGGAACTAATTATTCACCTCCTTGCCTATCTCTACAAGGAAGCTAAAGACTAAGTAGCCCACAGAGAATGAACCTAATTGAGCTTTTGCTCATTTTTACTCCTAGCTGTGGACCATTTTTTTAAGTTTCAGAAGCATTCTGATACTTTGTCTTCCCCCTCCGCTTTCACCCAGTTTGGGGCTTCCAAGTTCAGCTCCTGACTAGGGCTGGAAGTGATTAAATACCCAAAGAAAAGCTGTTTTGTAGCCTTGGACATGACAGATAATTTGGCTAAACATCTAGGCTACGTCTACACTGGCATGATTTCACAGAAATGCTTTTAATGGAAAAGTTTTCCGTTAAAAGCATTTTCGGAAAAGCGCGTCTAGATTGGCAGGACGCTTTTCCGGAAAAGCACTTTTTGTGGAAAAGCGTCCGTGGCCAATCTAGATGCGCTTTTCCGCAAAAAAGCCCCGATCGCCATTTTCACAATCGGGGCTTTTTTGCGGAAAACAGTACTGTGCTGTCTACACTGGCCCTTTTGTGCAAAAGTCTTTCGGAAAAAGACTTTTGCCCAAACGGGAGCAGCATAGTATTTCTGGAAAATCAAGCGGCCAGTGTAGATAGCTGGCAAGTTTTTCCGGAAAAGCGGCTGATTTTCCGGAAAAACTTGCCAGTCTAGACACAGCCCTAGTGTCAGATGCTTCTCTGAACTCCAATCCACTGCAAATTAAGCTAACATATATCCTGAGCTCCAGGTTGCTAATAATTATACTTGCTAACAATATATCAGCTAATTACCTATGACAATGACTATATGAATAACCAATGTTCCCTCTAATCTTTTCCATCCATGTGTGGATTTTTTCCATCCATGTGCAGAATAATTGTTATGTGCATTGGGGCATGTGGGAATGTGCACCACCAGCAGAAGCACAAAACCTGGCTGTGGGTGCCCTGCTAATCAGCTGGGCAGCATTTGGATCTCTCCTGAGCAGCCACACCAGCACAGAGCTCACAGGGAATACAGATGGACACTAGCTAACTATGTATGGATACAGAAGATAGTTGTCTATCTAGAATATAGATAGTATATCGTTAAATAATTTAACAAGCTATAACCTTTAATCAACATTCTGCTAGTATTCAGTTCTTCCCAACCTTTCCTTTTATTTCTAGTTTCCGAGGGGGTCTGGATGTAACACATGGTCAGACTGGTACCCAATCTGTGTACACTGTATTCAGGGACAGAGAGATTATGTTTCATGTCTCCACAAAGTTGCCTTTTACTGAAGGAGATGCACAGCAGGTAAGAGAGAGCCGGCCTTGCTTTAGAAAGAAACTGTTAAAGAAAAAGGAACAGCTAAACCTTAGAATTGCTGATGGAGTTTGGAATTATGAAATGGACACTTAGGAGTCGTATGGCACCTTAATGGCTAACAGATGTTTTTGAGCATAAACTTTCAAGGGTAAAAACCACTTCGTCAGATGCAGAACAAAGTGATTTTTCCCACAAAAGATTTTGCCCAAATAAATCTGTTAGTCTGCGAAGTGCCACAAGACTCCTCATTGTTTTTGCAGATACAGTCTACAGATTGAGACTTGTCACTAAATGGACATTGTGTATCCATAATGAATGAAAAGCTCTACATTAATTTCCATCTCTCACCTTTGTATGTACTATCTAGAAAATTGTAAACAGTGTGTTTTGTAGTTCCTAAATTCAAGCTCTTTGAGACTGGCATGGTGAAGAAAGTTAAGGCTTTGTCTACATGCAATTGTACTCCTCTTAGGCTACGTCTTCACTGCAAGTTCTTCTGGCAGAAAATATTCTAATGAGGGACTCGTTAGCATAAGTCACAATCTCATTAGAATATTTTCTGCCGTTTCATTTTGCGCAAGGGGTTTTTGCGCCGAAAGAAGCAGTGTGGACGTTTACACTACGAGTTTTCTCAGCAAAAAATATGCAAATAAGGGACTAATTTGCATGAGTTGAGATCATATTTGCATATTTACTGCTGATCCATTTTTGCGCTGGGGTTTTTGCAAAAAACCCTTTTTCCGTAAGATCCTTATGACCCCAAAAAGGAGGTGTACTGATCTTGTTGCAAAAAGAAAATATCTACAATGCTTATTTTTGTGCAAACACCCCAGCAACGAACAGATCGGCAGCACATCGGAAGAAAATATGCAAATGAGATTGTGACTCATGCAAATGAGTTCCTCATTTGCATATTTTCCGCCAGAAGAACTCACGGTGAAGATGAAGCCTTATTGTGTAATAGTTAAAGTGGCACAAATCCAATTAGAGTGGATGAAGTTATAGAGTCAGACCATGTTTACACTAGGAAACTATTTTGAAATTAGTAAATTTGACTTAATAATTCTTGATTTAACAAATTTAAACTAGCATGTCCACACTACAGAGAAGCCTCAAAATTAGTCCGAGGCAGGTTCTATTAACGGGGATGCAAAACCTCAGACTTAGAACGCTGGAGAGTAAGTAATTCAAATTACTTTGGGGAGTAGTTATTTCAAAATAGCGGCAGCAGAGTGTCCACACTACCGTTATTTCAAAATAACTATTTCAGAATTATCATTACTCCTGATGAAAAGCAGGAGTACAGATTTTGAATTCCATGGCCCATTATTTTGAAAAAATGGGCTTCGTAGTGTGGATTCTCTGTTTATAAATCAACCTTGGGGGGGGGGTATTTCAAAATAAAGTCCTAGTGTAGACAAGGGCTCATAAAGGTGCCATAGAGCAGTATAGCTTATTCCTGACCAGAAAGGAGAATGACCTATATTGCTATATGGCATCTTTATACAAGTATATCTGTGACCACATTAGGGGTTATATCAGTAGAGATTTTGGTAACCCATCACCCCCTCTCAATGGACATAGTTAAACTGGCACAAAGTGTGAAGATTACGCCTAAGTGGTTTTCCTTAAATACTGAGCCACAGAGATTTAACAGGTGTTGATTTTAATCCACAAATCCCTGCATATTTTTGACCCCATGGAATTAGCCATCTCACAATTTTTAGTCTTTGTTGTCTACAACTGGATAACTAAATCTATAGTATGGCACTTTTGGCCTCATTTTCTGTGGTGTTGGGAGTTGTGGAGGCTATTTCAAATCAGGCTACTTATTTAGGGGCCTAAATATGAATATAGGGAATTAATAGATTTTAAGGCTCAAAGGGACCATTATGGACATATAGTCTGACCTTCTGCACAATAAAGGAATATAGAACCTTACCCAGTAAAGTCTGTATGGAGCTCATAACTTCTCTTTAAGCTATCACTTATGAGAAAGGTATCCAGTCTTGATTTAAATTATTCAAATGATGGAGAATCCACTCTGTCCTTAGGTATAGCCCTGGGCACCAAGTCTGAAAATTTGTATCTAAATACATGTTGAACCTCTCTAGTCTGGCAATCTCTGGTCTGGCAACATCCGTGGTCCGGCATGATTTTAGTTAGTCGGATGTCCATTTATCATGGGTGTGGCCAAGTTTCCCGCAGTCCCATAAAGTTTGTTTACAGCCACCAGTCCTGGCTGTCGGTGTTCTGTGCTGTTAGTTAGCTCTAATTTACCCCTAAACGTCTTCTAAGAGCCCAGGAGCAGTGGAAGTGTTGGTAATGCTGCCAGACAATATCGACCTCCTGTGGTCCGGAAAAGTCTCTGGTCACATCCCCAGAGTGCCAGACTAGAAAGGTTCAGCCTGTAATTGCTCATACAAAGTGGATATTTGTTTCCAGGAGACACGTGAATGCTTAATTTTAACTGCCAAATATTTACACCCTTCATTCAGCTCCAGAGAAAGAGACACATTGGTAATGACATAGTGGCAATTATATTTCAAGAAGAAAACACTCCGTTTGTCCCTGACATGATTGCCTCAAATTTCCTGCATGCGTACATCGTTGTGCAAGTGGAGAGTCCTGAGACTGACAATGAATCCTATAAGGTAAGAGGATTTCGCAAGTTAAACGGCTGGATTTTGTTTCTGCAAGTCCACTTGAGATCTGACAATGACTCTGCTGTTCTCACCCTTGAGAACTTGCCAGTTTTAACTTGGATACATAGATTAGGGCGCCGATGCTGCAAAGACTGTCGAGGGCTTAATTTTCTGTGTTGTGTTTAGGACAACTCACAATATGTATGTAAATCTTTAAAAGATTTAGGGCCATGGTTACCTTGCTGTGGGTCCTATCCAATACTCATAGAAGTCAATGGGAGAATACAGTATCACCTAGTATGTCCTTACATTGGCTATAGGAAATATCTTGAATACTGTAAATACTAAAGAAAAGCTACTGGGTATCTAGGGCCCTGATCCTGCAAGTTTCTCCACTGAACTGGACTTCCGGACCCATCCAGGAACCCACAGATGTAGCAAGTTATAAAATAAGAATATAAAAATGGCCATAGTGAGTCAGACCAATGGTCCATGGAGCCCAGTATTGTATCTTCTTACTGTGGTTAGTGCTAGATACCTCAGAAGGAAATAACAGGACAGGGTAGTTATTGAATGCTCTAACATAGGGTTTCTCAACCTATGGGTCAGGACCCAAATATGGGTCACCATTACATTTCAAAAGGATCGCCAAGTGTCTCCCCAGGTGCCTCCTCCCCCCGTTTTTGAATTGCCTTGGGTCATCATGTCTTCCTGAATTGTTAAAATGGGTCCCCATCTGGAAAAGGTTGGGAACCTCTGCTCTAACAGAAATATTGGTCCCCTGCTATCCAGTCCTAGTTCTAGCAGTCAGAGGTGTAGGGCATATCTTCACTACCGACTGGATCGACGGGCAGCGATCAGTCCAGCAGGGATCAATTTATCACATCTTGTATAGACCTGATAAATCAACCTATGAACATTCTTCTGTTGACTCTCCTACTCCACCAAAATGAGAAGAGTAAACTGAGTTGATGTGAGAGCATCAGAAGTCAACTTACCGCAATGAAGATACCGCAGTAAGCAGACCTAAGTCCATTGACTTGCTACGTTATTCACATAGCTGAAGTTGTTTAACTTAGGTCGATGGCCGGTGGTAGCATAGACAAGCCCCCAGTGACATACAGAGGAAGACTATCTTGGCTAATAATTAAAGTGACGGAAACTGAAAGAATATATATGGGGACAGTCTGAAGTAGGAATTAATTGTCAATAGCTTCATATACATCATTGGAGCTATGACCATTTACATTTATTGATGGGCTGGCCTATGCTTGCTATGATCCAAAATCAGGAAGTTTTTCCTATTCCAGAAAGCTCTTAAGCACACTCTTATTTTAAAGCATATGGGAATTAAGTACATTCTTCTAGTTAAAGCACTTATTTAGGAACCTCCCTCTATGTCTACCTGAAAAAGAGACAGCTATGACAGTCAGCAATTAATCCTTCCTTCAGTAAAATGATGATTAGTTCGAGACTTGCCAGTTTGGCAGATTTATGGATGATATATAAGTAGTTTACAAACAGTATATTTGTTTGTGGGCTATGTACGTATATTTCATATTTACGTTTCGATAGCGTATACACATACATAGTTAAGATAGATAAATAATGTTATATATTACTATTCTTATAAATTTAAATGTATAGTATGTGTTTTAACTCTAATAATATACTATTTATACATGGAGAATATTCAATTTATATGCTATTTATTTTTTAAATTTGTCTTAGAATATTTTACTTCTCTGCACACTGTTCAAATGTACACAAAATAAAAATATGCTATATATAGAATATATATATTCTATGATAACTATTCAGAGATAATATAATGTATCATTTTTAACATTGAAAATACATTGCTTGGAGTCATGAAGAAAAATCGAATTCATATGAAAACTAATGAAGAGCGACAAACAATAAAACATACAATTAATGTATTTAATGCAGGAATAAATGATTAGCTTTGGGAATGGGTGTGTCACTAAGGCAAGTGCTGTGCTCTAGAGTAACCTTTGCTTAAGCCTGTAGGTAAATATTTGTGCTGGTATTTGATCTGACTGGTACTGTTACAACAGAACCTGTGAGTTTTCTATCCAGAGGACAGGGAACATGCAATGAGATTATGACAAAGACCGTGCCCCATTGCTGGAATTGTGCCAAGATCGGGTCATGCTAGAAAGTGCCCTGAGCCAGTAGTTATACAGTTTCATGGAGTCACTTCCAGAGAGTCCTTAGGGCGCATGGGATGGGGGGACAAGACAGCACAGGTCGTGTTAGAAGTCTGAGAGCTAGAGAGCCAGAGCAAACCACAGGGGCTGCAAGTGTCCAGCAGCCTTATTAAAGAGCCCACTGTATACTCCTCAGAACTAGTCCTGTCCCCTCAATCTCTCAGTACCTCAGAGGACTTCAGTACCTCTGTTAGGGCTTTGCCATTCACATGACTGGGCAGGGCTGGAGATCCTTAGAATTGCTCACAAAAGAGCCCTGCTAGGCCATTTTGCAGCCCGGATACCTAGGCCCACCAGTGGGGCAAGGGGAAATGGGGCAACTGTTCTAGAGCCCAGCAATTCAAAATGGCCTGGATTCCCAGCCACCACTTCTGCTTCTGCAACAGCCGCAGCAGCCCTGGCCAGAACGTTGGGTTCTTTAAATCGCCGCTGGAGCACATTCTAGGCAGCTCTGAAGGCTGGCTGGCCCTAGCTCCACCTCTTCTGCCCAAGGCCCCGCCCCTTCCAAGAGCTTGGAGCACCCCCTACCCACCTTGCCAGGGGCCTGGCAAGTCTATCAACTCCCCCTGCTGGTACTTATTGTGATGGGGAAGTCAGACTGCATTAGGACAATCCGCCCCACCCGAGTTTTGTCACTGTCCGATGCTGGTCTGACCCAGAATTTCCATGCCAGTGATCTTAGAGGTGAATCAGTGAACTCACCCTGCATGAGAGTGCAAAAGGGATTCACTTCTCATGTCATCTTGGCGAACTACTGCAGCAACTTCTGCATAGCAGTGTATTTCACCCCTTCCCACCCCATCTGCTCAGGGCTGTCAGTTCCTTTTATGTTCTGCACATGCCTCCAGATCCTGATCGAAAGGTCAAAAGGACACTTGCCTTTGTGTAATTAGCTGTTTGTTCCGCATGCTGCTCTCTTTATGCTCCTTGGCTAAGCAGATGATTTTCTTTGGCTTCCAACATGTAGGAGTTAAAGATATTAGAACTGAAAGAGGCATTTTCCAACAGAAGCCAGCCACCCAAATTAAATCATCCAAATGGAAACATAATTTCACAACATTAGACTCGAGCAGGCGATTCGACCTCAGTGACGGCGGTTTTTGGCGGTAGCAAAGCAGGATGGATGATATTCATCCTTTCCTTTCTCCATTGCCAAAGAGCCCTTTTGATGGCATGCCCTGAAATTTACTAGCATCCCTCTTTATGCCCTGTTTAACTCTTCTAACAAGTTGGCTGATTGCCTGCAGACATCCGTACCAGGCCAGAGAATTGAAGGGGCAGGTGGTCAACTGACCAAGCAATGTCAACCTGCTTGTCAGATGAAAAGCTACAATTATCAGCCAGCTTGGTACGTCAGCCTGTTCACATGAGCAAATGCACTAAAATCTCCCACTGTCTCTTTTACCTGGTGTTGCTTAGGGCTAGGATACACTGGTGGAGGAGGTGTGAAAGGTACCATTGCATGCCACTGAAACAGAGTTATTATGAATTCTTTATTGCTTGCATGGCGGCCGTGCCGACAAGCCCCGGTCAGGGATCAGGCCCTCTCTGGTGCTAGGCTCTGCCCGCAAAGAGTTTACACCCTACGCACAAGTGATGATGACAACTGTGATGAGTGTAGCAAGGCAGCGGGACCTAGAGGCAATGACACAGGATTCAGAAACTGGGCCCAAGTCTCCTAGTGATGCCCCTGACTGAAGACTCCAGGGCAAGTGGAATTCAGCCTCAGAAGGGAGGTGCTGCTTCTTTGTAACAGGAGTTTTTCTGGTTGTGCCTCCCTGGTCCAGCACCGTTGGGACCCGATGGGTCCTGATGCAGGGAATTTGCCAGACGAGGGGAGGTAAGTGCCAACCCCACTGCTGCCACCAGCTGTGGGACTCCACTCTGGCAGCAGCAGAGAGGCCAGCACTGACTGAGCAGAGGATGCTCTGGGGGCGGGGGATGCTCTGGGATGAGGCAGGATGGCTGGGTGCCAGGAGTGCATGCCCCGCCTGTTTCCCCGAGGGCTCCCCTGGCCCTGCTCCTCCCCCTCCCTCCCTGACTGTGAGCTCCACAAAGGAGCTATTTGCACTTCTCTGGGAGGTTGGGGGAGCAGTTGCCCAGCTTTTCCCTGTGAGTGCTCCAGCACCCCAGATGGTGCCGGGTGTGGGAAATCCGGACCATAGAGGTCCAGCCTGTATTGCATATGGTCTGTGTTCCAGTTGAACCTAGAGCCTTGTAGCTAACACCCAGAGTTCTGTGTGGATGGCCTAGTTCATACTCACTGTGTAAGAGCTTACTATTGCCCCTAAGAGCTTAGTGGATAAATAGGTAAACCTGGGGAGGAGGGAGAGGCAGAGAGACTTTTTCAAGTTCACTCAGTAGGTCAGAGTTAGAGCTGGGCATATAACCCAGATCTCCTGGCTCCCAGCTGAGTGCTCCAGTGTGTCTCTCTGGGCCATTCTTGTACCTCTTAAGCAGGTTGGGCTATAAATGGAGGCCGTGCATTTAATGACCCCTCTGCTACAAGGAATCTTGCTAGCTGCTTTGCCTGGAGTGCTGCCAAGGTATTGCAAGAGACATGAATACTCTGGGCATTACTAATTTGTTGTTGCAACACTTGTGGTGTCAGGTAACTCATATATTCTTGCTTTCCTTTGGTTCTAATAGGTGTCAGTCACTGCCCGGGAAGATGTCCCTTCGTTTGGTCCTTCTCTGCCAAGCCCACCAGTATTTCAAAAAGTAAGTAGCAAAATAGAAAGTACGACGAAGTTGCATTATTCACCCAAACTGTCTCAAAAGACACCTGTTTATTGTGTGAAATATGGTAGGACTGAGGTGAGCGCTAGAGTAAAACCATAGGGCCTGATCCTCTGCTGGTGTAGATCAACCAGTGAGTGAAACCATTGCTGAGTGACATTAGCTGATAGTCTGGCCGATACAGGTGCTGGATGTAGGCAATTCATTGGAACTGTAAATGATTAACTATTGACTTCTAAGGTTCTGGGGAAAATCCTGAGTGGCAAATGAAAATTAATTTGGTGGGAGTCTCTCAGGCTACGTCTACATGACAGGGTTTTTGCGCAAAAGCAGCTGGTTTTGCTCAAAAACCCGCACAGCATCCACACCTCAAGCACATTTTTGCACAAGAAAATGTACAGTAGAGCGGCAGAACAGAGTGCTTTTTGCAGTAGAGGTTTACCTCTTTCTACGAGGAATAACTCCTTTTTGTGCAAGAGCTCTTGTGCAAAATATGTGTGTGGATGCTCAACAGGGGTTTCTTGTGCAAAAAGAGCCTACCAAAAAAGTACAGGTGCTCTGATGGCCATTCTGTTAATGGCAATTCTTGAACAAGAGCATCCATGCAGTGTGGACACGCTCTTACGCAAAAGCACATTGCTTTTGCGATGTGTTTTTGTAGTGTGGACATGCTTTTGTGTAAGATGTTTTTGCTTTTCTGCAAAAAGCTTCTTGCACAAAAAGCCTGCCGTGTAGACATAACCTCAGTGTAGCCCAACACCTAATGTGGCACAATTCAGCATATGTCTGTACAAGAAATGCCCAGGAGCAGGTTAGTGCGGCTGTGGGAGGGTTAGGTTGGAAGAAAGTGCATTGGCGGGGCTGCTTGGAGCTGTGTGAACCAGTGCCTGACCATGCTAAATGAATGGCTTGACTCATTGCTCTTTAGCCCTCAGTTTTGTCAGACATGGATTCACCCAGAAATATTTTTTAAAGAAAAACAAATTAATTTAGATCTACTTTGTTAAACTAGAAGATTTACCTGATGTTGCTCGGCTCCTTGCCTCAATTGATTGTTAGTTTTTGGAAAATAAAATAGTAATGTCCATGCTTCATTTAAATCATTGCTCCAGGGTGTGGCTGGGGATGAGGGATTCAGTATGCAGGCTGCCCTGGCGGGAGAGGCTTGGAACCAGGTGAAAAACGCCTCTCCATGGCAGTTTCATCTGCCCCCTGTGCTCTCCAGTCAGAGTGAGCAATGAAGCAAACTGTGCACTTCCCCCTCGCTCCCTGACGAAGGGGAACAGCCAGCAATGTTCCTGTATGAATCGGGGAGAACTTATAGAATCATAGAACCATAGAGCTGGAAGAGACCTCAGAAGGTCATCAAGTCCAGCCCCCTGCTCTAGGCAGGACCAATCCCAACTTCAACCCTCTTTCCCCCAAAGGACACCTGGGGGGTGGGAGGCTCATGGCTGGGTCAGAGCACGCGTTTTCAGCATTGATGAGTTTGGTAAGCAAGAACTCCCTGAATTCTGCGTTCTAGAAGGGATCAGCGAAAGTAAGGTTAGTAAATCAAAGCCACTTTAATACTCTGAGGCTACATCTACACAACGGGTTTTGCCAGAAGAGGCAATGCAAATGAAGCGCTGATTAGCTGATTAGTTTTTTCGAAAAAAAGGCAGTCTAGATTCGGATCTGTCAAAAATAAAGCCTTTTTCGACAGATCCTGTATTCCTCGAAGAATGAGGTTTACAAGATCTGTCGAAAAAGGCTTTATTTTTGACAGATCCGAATCTAGACTGCCTTTTTTTCGAAAAAACTAATCAGCTAATCAGCGCTTCATTTGCATTGCCTCTTCTGGCAAAACCCGTTGTGTAGATGTAGCCTCAGAGTATTAAAGTGGCTTTGATTTACTAACCTTACTTTCGCTGATCCCTTCTAGAACGCAGAATTCAGGGAGTTCTTGCTTACCAAACTCATCAATGCTGAAAACGCGTGCTGCAAATCTGACAAGTTTGCAAAGCTGGAGGTAAGGAGAGTAAATATTTTTCTCTCTCTTTTTTTCTCTTTCTGTTGTTTCTCCATCTCCTCCTCCCCTCCCTTACCACTGCCCTCTCTTTTAGGCCAATCACAAAGAGTAAGGCTAGAAGCAGCTGGTGTACGAATGGAGAAAGTTGTTACCCATCCATCTTCCTGGGCTGCCCTATCCCCAGAGAAATGACAAGGTTAACATTTTCTTGAGGAAAGTAGAATCTCATCCCTTCCCGAGCACCTCCTTAAGAAAGGGACATTTTCAAAGTGACCCCCTGCTAAGGTGCAAAACATGGGTGTAGGGCATGATGGGAACACGTCCCTCCGACGTTTTACTTCTCAGCACGGTCCAAGCCTCAGACCTGTCTGCCCTGCCTGCATTGTTTTTATATTGCTGAGCTTATATCCATCCCTCAGTTCTCCACTGCCTTGACATAAGGAAGGGTGGTCAGCCCCCTGGCGGTGCTGCTAGCGTTCTGGGCTCAGCCACAATAGAAGCGATTCCTGCAGCCTCCATCAGGAAGACAGAGGGGTTACATATTATGCAACTTCATTAACATCTATGAACTAAGAATGTAAAATTCCATTTAATTTGTTAACTGGTTAAGCGGGATGTTTAACCAGTTAACCAATTAAATGGGGAGCAGGCAGGGGGGCTGCTCCAGCCAGCTGGATTGGGGGGCTGCACCTTTGCCCATGGAGGCCAGGCTGGAGTGGTCCTTACGCCAGGGGTTGCTTCATCCTGGCTACAGCACCCCTGCCTGTGACATTCCCAGGCTCACTGCAGACAGGGGCTGTTCTGGGCACCTGGAGCAGCCCCTGCCCATGGTGTGTGGGGTGCTGCTCTAGCCCCTACTGGTTAACCAGTTAACTGGTTAACGTTTCACATCCCTACTAAGAACATCTTGTAGAATCTATTTGACCTTAGGGGCTGGGGCACACGATTTACAAGGAGAGGCAAAAAACAGGACTATGTAGCACTTTAAAGACTAACAAGATGGTTTATTAGATGATGAGCTTTCGTGGGCCAGACCCACTTCCTCAGATCAAATAGTGGAAGAAAATAGTCACAACCATATATACCAACGGATACATAAATCACTAGGAAGGGTACATATATCCGTTGGTATATATGGTTGTGACAATTTTCTTCCACTATTTGATCTGAGGAAGTGGGTCTGGCCCACGAAAGCTCATCATCTAATAAACCATCTTGTTAGTCTTTAAAGTGCTACATAGTCCTGTTTTTTGTTTCAGCTACACCAGACTAACACGGCTACATTTCTATCACTATGCTACTAGGAGAGAGTGAGGAAACTGCATTTATTTAGTCTGTAGAAGAGAAGAGTGAGGGGGGATTTGATAGCAGCCTTAACTACCTAATGGGAGGTTCCAAAGAGGACGGAGAGGGGCTGTTCTCAGTAGTGACAGATGACAGAACAAGGTGCAGTGGGTGAGGCCTAGGTTGGATATTAGGAAAAACTATTTCACTAGGAAGATGGTGAAGCACTGGGATGGGTTCCCTAGGAATCTCCATCCCTGAGATTTTTAAGGCCTGGCAAAACCCTAGCTGGGAGGATTAAGTTAGAGTTAGTCCTGTGACCTCATGAGATCTCTTCCAACCCTAATCATCTATGATTCCATGACTTTTATTACTTCATGTTATTGAGATGGGTCAGCACATCAAGGCAACCCATGGAAGAACCATCACGGGTTTTTGCTGTCTATGCAGTTTGTAGTCACATTCACGGTACAGTCTCATGCGGTTGCAATGCCATGCTTGATTCCCTGCATGTCCTGGGCTGAGGAGACGGTCTCCACGGCACGGAGCCATTGCTGCATCCATGTTACCTTGTTCTGCACCAAGAGGCTGTCCAACCAATTCACACACCAACAACTACGTCCCTTTCTCATTCTTTCAGGACCGGACCCGAGCGGCATTGCTGGACAATCTCCATGATGAGCTTCATACACACACACAGGCAATGCTCGGGCTGGGGCCCGAGGAAGATAAGCTTGAGAATGGAGGTCATGGAGGCTTCTTGGAATCATTTAAGGTAAAGAAAAGCATCTTACCTACAGCTGTAGATAGACTGGGCTATGGCCAGTGAGAGCCCTGGAGTAATGAAGGACCTGGAAAGCCACACTGATCCAAAGAGTGGCTTTCAGGATTCAGCTTCAAAGCAAAATCTGGGGACCAGGTTGAAGAACTCCGAGGTGCTAATCCAGGAAAGTACTTTTGAACACATTTAACTTAGAGCACATGAGTAGCCCAATCAAAGTCAATGGGACTACTCACATGCTTAAAATTAAGCACACGCTTAAGGGTGTTGCTGGATCAGGGCCTATATCAAGGAATTCCTCCTCTAGAGCATTCGACCATTCTTTCAGCAGCTCCTGTGTATTACCGGTCATGCCTTCTCAAAAGCATGCCGCTGGTACGTGGGTGAATGCTCAGACATCTGTGACAAATGCCCGTTGTGATCTTATTCACAGTAAGAGGCGTCTTGCAGGCAGCTCTCCAACTTCCTTGGCAGCTTTTGCCAGCAAATGCTTTCGCCCCATTGTCGGATGCTACCCGGCCGTGTGTCTGCCCGGAAGCTGGCAGTTGTGCAGAGAGAGGAGGCGCGCTGTGATCAGGTGTTCGAGCTGCTGAAGTAAATGGGTGGGCTGGATGCTGTTTTTCATAGGGGAAACAAGCTGAGAGATGGACGTATTAGGAGAAGAGAGTGGGAAAGGGGCTGCAGATCCCACGGTGATGGGTCTGGTATAAATACCTAAGGGGAGAAAGGGAGGGATATACAGAAAGGCAGTGTCTAGACTGCATCCCTTTTCCGTAAAATGGATGCAAATTAGACATATCACAATTGCAAATGAAGCGGGGATTTAAAACTCCCCCGCTTCATTACCATAAAAATGGCTGCCGCTTTTTTCCGGCTCCGGGGTTTTCTGGGAAAAAACACTCCCCGCTTCCTGTACAAAAAAATGGCCTGCCGCTTTTTTCCGGCTTGGAGCTTTGCCGGAAAAAAGCGCCAGTCTAGATGAGGATCTTTTGGAAAATAAAGCCTTTTCCAAAAGATTCCTTATCCCTTATTTTAAGAGGAATAAGGGATCTTTCGGAAAAGGCTTTATTTTCCGAAAGATCCGCATCTAGACTGGCGCTTTTTTCCGGCAAAGCTCCGAGCCGGAAAAAAGCGGCAGCCATTTTTATGCTAATGAAGCGGGGGAAATTTAAATCCCTGCTTCATTTGCAATTGCGATATGTCTAATTTGCATCCCTTTTACGGAAAAGGGATGCAGCCTAGACACAGCTAAAGGGGAAAGGAGAAGAAGAAAATGCAAAAGGGTAAAGAAAAGTGAGGGAAGAGACTAGAGTGAAACATTGAGTGACCACTCAAGGGATTAATTGTCTGGCAGGGCTGGATTCCTAATAACAGGGGAACAGAAATGTTCTCAGCACTTTGGGGAGGTCCCTGAAGTACGGAGGCTGCCTAATAAGAGCCGTGTCTCTTGGACCGGCTCCATAGTGAAGGAAAAGGGAGCATGGCAGGAAGCGTTTGCCTGTGTAAGTCTGAGGCCAGGCTATCCTGGTAACTCTTTCTGCAAAACAGTGTGGAGGCGGCGTATGCTGGCAAACCTGCGCTTTGGTTGCCACAGCTTATTCCAGCCTCCCTGAGTGCAATAAAATCCATAGGCAGAAGCACCGTTTTGCTGGTATCACTGTGTCTATGGGAGAGGCTTTTGCCAGCACTGCGACGTCTATCAGGGATCACATCTTGTCACATCGGTGACTGACCTAGCTATGCCAGAGAAGGTTTGTCTTGAAGACCTGGTCAGAGATAGAAACATAACAGCTGATTTTAATAAGAGTGGATGCAAACAGTGTAAAGAAACCCAGGGCTACTTCAAACCCAGACGGCTATCGAGTGACATTGTTCACAACCAATGAAATGCAATATTAGAAGCGCTACAACATACCATAGGGTACGTCTACACTAGCCCCCTAGATCGATCCAGGGAGGCTAATGAGGGCGACCGGAATTGCAAATCAAGCCCGGGATTTAAATATCGCGCGCTTGATTTGCATGTTCCTGGCCGGTCGCCATTTTAGAAATTGACTAGCCTGAAGTAACTGCCCGTGTCTACACGCGGCAGTGAAACGGGATTCCGGAATAAAGCCCCTAAGTCAAATTAGGTGGTAAACCTCATTCCACGAGGAATACCACCTAATTCGATTTAGGGCTTTATTCCGGAATCCCGTTTCACTGCCGCGTGTAGACACGGGCAGTTACTTCAGGCTAGCCAATTTCTAAAATGGCGACCGGCCAGGAACATGCAAATCAAGCGCGCGATATTTAAATCCCAGGCTTGATTTGCAATTCCGGTCGCCCTCATTAGCCTCCCTGGATCGATCTAGGGGGCTAGTGTAGACGTGCCCATAGAGTTCCAGTTCCCAGAAAACTGCACCTGTATTTCCTCCGGGGTTCCCCGGATGCTCCCCCTCTGAGATCCCGGCTCCTCAGATGCCCACATTGCCTTCCCTCCTGACTGGGGTTTTTCCAGGCTGCCCAGTTCCATCGTGTTCTCCTCCGAAAGCCAGACTGCCCAAAGGGCCAGCGTCTGTGCTCTGCTTCCTTTCCAGCGTCGCTGCCAGCTGTTTTGAGTTCTCATGCAGCTTCTTTCTTAGCAAGCGCATTTGTTCTTAAGGTGAAAGCGGCACAGAGAAAACACGGACAACAATAAAAGACTCAACATGCGTGATACACAGCTTGTAGAGATCACCCAACTCTCCTTGCACTCTGGCTGTGTGGCAGGAGTCAATCATTCTACTTCCTTTGCAAGGATTGGGACTGTCGCTTGGGCAGCGAGTTCCAGTGGGGCCACCAAGCCACTGGGCAGGTGTGTGTGTGTGTGTGGGGGGGTCATCTTGGTGTCCCTTCAGGCAGAAGGGGTGGAGTTGGGGCAGCTTCCTCCAGGCAGCCTCAACGCCGCCCAGAGTGCACCAGGCTCCAGCAGCAATTTAAAGGGCCGGGGACTCCCAGCTGCTGCTATTGCTACTGAGGCAACAGCAGCAGCTGGAAGCCTGGAGACCTTTTGGATCACTGGGCTACAGGGCAGTTTCCCCCCATGTACCCCCATCAGTGGGCCTGTCAGGTCCTGTCTGCATCCTGGATCAGAAAGAAGGCCCTGAGTCCATTTAAGCTCAGGCTGTTTGTCCAAAAGTCTGTTGGTCTCTGAACCGGTACACGTAAGTCTTTCCAGGAGGTGGTAGGTAAAAATAAAAAAAATTAACGGAGATTGCCTATCTCCTAGAACTGGAAGGGACCTTGAAAGGTCATCGAGTCCAGTCCCCTGCCTTCACAGCAGGACCAAGTACCACCCCTGATGAATTTTTGCCCCAAATCCCTAAATGGCCTCCACAAGGATTGAACTCACAACCCTGGGTTTAGCAGCACAAAATGCAAACATACAATTAAATCCAATTTAAGGTACGTGGAGGGGTTTACACCCTGGCTGATTTGCCTTTAATCACCACTCCCTAGGTTGAGTTCCAGGTGGGGCAGTGGCCGACCCCTCCTCCCCCGCCACCCCGAGTAGAAGACACTTATACCTAAACCATTCCTGCAAAACGGTGGCCCCCAAGGATGCTGCATGGGGTTGCAATATCCCTCGCACACTATTCAGATTTGGAGTTGGACGAGCCTGTGCCCATTATGGCAGGGCTCGGCCAGGTCTGGGAGCTAAGATGGCGCTAGCTTCGACTCCGCGTGCTTTCCTTGCTGTAAGTGTGGCACAGAGAATGCAGCTAAGCCTGGGTGGGGAGAATTCAGTATTCACAGCAAAAAGCTGCCAAGGGGGCACCGAAAGCAAGTGGGGGCTTTCAGGCCTGTCGATGGGGGGGCCAAAAAGGGCAGTTGCCCTGGGGCCCGGCTATCCAAAGGGGCCTGGGGCTCTTGGCCACTGTCCCGGGCCATATAAATTGCCACCGTAGCAACGCATTCTGCGCTCCATGTGGCTCTGTGGGGTGGGAGGCGGCGGGTGTGCCAGGCTCTGGGCAGCGCTGAAGGCTAGCCCTGCCCCTTCTGCCTGAGGCCCCACCTCTTCTGGAAGCATGAAGCTGCCTCTTCCCCTTTTCTCTTTGCCCAGTGGCCCGCACAGGCTGTCGGCTCCCCTGGAGCTGCCAAAGTCATTAGGTCACATAGATGACAATCAGTTTCCTGCCACTGGCTGGCTAGGTTGTTCTCATAAGACACAGAGAGGCTCTCTCTAGCCCCCGGCACATGTGGTATGGGGTATCTGGAAGCTGGATGTTTTCCTGATTGCTGTTTGGAACCATATGGCTTGCTGAAGATGGCTGAGATCCCAGAACTTTTACTCATCTCCCTTCTTGGTACTTGCCACACCCCTCTTCCTAGCATGCCAGAGGGTACGTCTGGACTGCAAGCTTCTTTCAAAAGAAGATTTTTCAAAAAAGCTTCTTTTGAAAGAGAGCATCCACACCTCAAAACCAGACCGAAAAGCAATCTGCTTTTTCGAAAGAGAGCGCCCAGACTGCATGGACGCTCTCTCGAAAGAAAGCCCTGATTGCTAGTCGCAGAATGGCCACCAGGGCACCTGTGCTTTTTTCGATTGCTTCTTCTTTAGAAAAATGTCCCTGTTCTGTGTCCACACATGCCTTTTTTTCAAAAGAGCTCTTTTAAAAAATGGATTCTTCCTCCTAATTTGAGGTTTACCAATGTCGAAAAAAACCCCTGAATTCTTTTGATTTAATTTTACAAAGAACACGATTGCAGTGTGGATGCAGGTGACGTTTTTTTGAAAAAAGGGCAGTTTTTTTCAAAAAAACAATGTAGTCTAGACATACCCTGAAGGAGAGTAGCAGAAGAGGGGAAGATGAAAGCGAAACCATAAATAGCTGATCCCAGGCTAGTCTGTGATTTTCAAGCTGTTGAAGCAGCTTTCACTGCCTGAGGGGTTAGACTTCTAAGTGTGTTTCTCCAACCTGTTAATGCTCAAAAATATTTATTTTTTTAGATAAGGCAAAGTAGGTAATAAC